GCACCTAGTTAGAAGGGAGTCCAAAAATGGCAGTTACTGCCGCCGGCCAGCCCCTGCCATTGCTGCCACCTAGGGCACAGACCCTACTTGTTACACCTCTGCGATTCCATGGATTCAACTGGCCAAGAAGCAGTGAAGGATCAAGTGTATAAAGAGCAGTGATTGGAGCAAGCTAAGAATCTGGCTCTTAGATCACATATTAGTAGACTTGAATAATTGTGGTTTATTTTTAATGCCATCCAGTTATGTGCTTTTCTCCACTTGTTGAAATGACTTAGGGCTATGTATAATTGAGAGAGTTTATTAGACTACTTGGCTTTCAGTTGCTGATCATAAAAATTGACAGTCTAAAAATTGCACTTTAAACCTTTATGAATCCACTCTGCATATAAGTTGTGCTGACAGAAATACATTTTATACTTCTTATAAAGCAGCAGGGAGAAGACAAGAATGGGAAAGTGACCTTGAATTATTTTCTGGCTTACAAATCATCAGCAGAATTGTTAAATGAATTCTGAATGCAGGATTGTTATTACTGGTGATGATGTGTGAACTAGGTACAGCTTGATCACCAGGTCTCAGACTGAGTTTACAGTATGAGTAATGTGAAAAATCATCTTTTAAATTGTAAACATATCAACTTGGATGTAGAAGTCACTGAAAACAAGTAGACACAGAACCCCACCGTGCCAGGATTGCAGAATCACTTTTTACTGCTTAATATCACTTCAAAGTCATACAAAATAAAAATAAATATGGAGTTAAAAATCAACACAACGGTGGCAAGATAAGGGAAGAATGGTTTTAGGACTAAAACTTAGGGCAATCAGAAAATCTTTTTTTCTTGCTTTTCCACAAACCTTCCACAATCTCCATTGGCAAGTCACTTTTATTGTCTGTATGTCTTATAGAAATCATAGAGAAATAGGGCTGGATGGGACTGCCATCTTGTCAGCTGGTCACACATATGTCCTCTAGTACAACTCCCTACCTAAGGCAAGATCATGCCTATACAAATCATCCTATACAAATCCATAATCTAACCTTTTACCATCAACCCTGACAAAACATAAGACATAACACCCTCAATTTCCTCATGCAAAAGTGGGATAGTAATATGGGATTTTTTTCCCCCCAAAAGGGTATTGTAAAATTATAATTAATTGTTTATCAGGCACATTGGTTTCCTTGGGTAGAAAACACTACCTAACTGTAAATTAATATGATTTAATATGTAAATGGAAAATATAAGAAGTATAGAAATATATAACAAGTATAGAAAAATATAACATAAGTTGGTGTGGGAGGGCCCTAGCTATATGAAGTCATGGGCACTCAAACATGTTACTACAAGGTAAGTAAAGGAGGGTGAAGATTTACAACATCTCAGATTCTGCACCTTCATGGCAACCCCTCAGTAAAATAAGACTAGTTACCGTGGGTTCGCATGTATTCACCAGAGTGTTAACATGGACAGTTACCTTGCAGCTGATACCCTGTGAAGCCCCATTTTCCCTTACCTCACAGTAATTTGTTTATGGGCCCATGCTTGCAAACTCAATCAGGATAAGACTGAAAACCTTGGAAGAAACAAGTGGAATAACTGGTGAATACTAAGGGGATGTAGTCACTGTTTGTGTTTGAGTTCCACACTCTCCCAGAGTTTGGAGTAGTTGCATCCAGGGTTTGGTTTGAATTTATCTCCAGTTCTGTGTCGTAATGCATGTTAAATAAGGCACTCTAAGGATAGATTTATATGGGTGTTTAAGAAATTAAATTAGCCAATACTCCTTCAAGAGTACTCATAGGAATGTCTCAAATGCTGCCTAACTGCTTCCATGCCACAAGCTCCCAGCCCAGAAATGAGGCAGTGAAGCCATTCTGCTGCTGTTCTTGAGATCTGTACCTGGCATATTTTAGAGCAGCAATGAGGGAAGCCTCTAAATAGCTTCACTCCCTCATTTCCAGATTTGGGACATGCAGAACAGGAGGGGACGTGCAAGGCGTGCTTGAGAGCAGGACTCCTGAGAGAGCTGCAGCAGTGGCGTAGGCAAACTCTAAGATTTCTGTGAATAAAAGTGTAGTACGTGCCATGTGACTGCATAAACGCAGTTTTCTAGTCCATCTGTGTACAGGAGATTAAAATCACATTGAAAGTATTTTTCAGTTGTAAGACTTTCCAACATGTAATAAAAATATAACTGTAAGAAAGCAGATGAAATAAAGGATTAGAGTCAAGATTACTAGCAGAATAGGAAAAAATGGCAATATATCATTATTTTGCAATGAAATTACAGTTAAAGCAATGGCATATATGTGACTGGATAAATAGCATACATATACCTCAAGAGATTCAGCACATGTCAAGTCAGCAAGTGGGTTTCATCAGTTCAAATTAAATTTCATATGCAAATTAGATTTCATATGCATATGTAAGGCACTGCCTTGGTTCATTTTCCAGGATTTTATTTCACAATCATACTTTACACTGAAATACTGTACTGTAAAAGGCTATGTGACACCACTCACCTTTTTTACATGGCTGATTTGGGGTCTGTACAGTTAATGCTCATGTGTATGTTGATATATGATGCACAATACTTGTGTGCATTGTACCACTGAAATACGATTGCACCTAGAAACTATTTAGCTATCTTTAGTCTAAATCCAGAAATGTTTTCTATGTACCTTCTCTGAAATATAAATACGTACTTGGATAGTAACTCTATCTCTATCCCTATCTGGCACATGTACTGCTGCTCTGAGTAGAACTGGTCCACACTAAGGGTAGAGTTACATGTTACACTTAGATTGTACTAAATGCACTTAAAGCATGAGTGTTTAGATGTTAAAGCTCATTAACTCATGGTAAGTACCCTCTGAATGTCCCAGAGTTGCTCCAGGGTTAACTCTGGGCAGTACTACCTAGCTCCTATTAGGATAACTTCAGTCTGCTCCACAGAGATGAATCAAGCAATTTGTAGTCCCCCAGAATCTCACACCTCTCCCAACCTCCTCCCTCCTCCCCCTTCCACCCACAGCAGGACTAGAGGAATAGAGCCATGCCCCTGCTCAGCAGTCCTCTAGTGGCCACCCAGAGCTCTGCAGGCATTAACATTTGACTGCTTGCAACACAATTCTAATTTTAACATGGCTTAACACTCCATAGAGTCAGTATGGTTTAAGTGTAACAAGTAACTTCCCCCTTATATACTGTCACTGTTATATTATCTTTCAACTGACTATGCTCATGGGTGGCAAATGAATATTTCTACAGTCCACCAGTCTTAGGACTATGCCAGCCCCAAGAGTCTTACTTGATATGGTTAGTATTCTGCTGAAAACAAGCAATCAGACTTTGGATCTTAATGGTTACAAACCATTATGTGTAAGAATACCTGACTGAAAACTATCTGGGGTAGTTTTTTAAGTGATTTGGGGGACAGCTCAGTGAGAACAAGCAATCAGCTTTTCTTTTCTGTGATTGTGCTGTATATATTCAGTCCCTGCTTGGTCATCATTAGGGCCTAAAATTTGTCACTCAGGTTACTGGATGAGTGAACAGCAATTTTATCAAAGTGGCAGCTCCTACCTTGAATACAGTTATATTCATAGTTTCATAGTTTCATAGATTTAGGGTCAGAAGGGACCTAGTAGATCTTCTAGCCTGACCCCCCGCCAGGGCGGGAGAACAAAAAAAACCCCAAAACAAAAACGGGACTCAAATGAGTCCAGCCAGGTAGGCATCCAGCCTCGTCTTAAAGACCCCCAGGGTAGGGGCCAGCACCACTTCCCTTGGAAGTTGGTTCCAGCTCCTAGCCGCCCTAACTGTGAAGTAGTTTTTGCGGATGTCCAATCTATACCATCTCTCCATCAACTTGTGCCCATTACTCCTTGTTATGCCAGCGGGCGCTAGGGGAAACAGCGTCTCCCCCAAACCCTTCTGGTCCCTGCTAGTGAGTTTATAGACGGTCACCAGGTCCCCCCTCAGCCTTCTCTTGTGGAGGCTGAATAGGTTCAGGTCCCGCAGTCTCTCACTGTAGGGTCTGCCCTGTTGTCCCCGGATCATGCGGGTGGCCCTCCTCTGGACCCTCTCCATGTTGTCCATATTAAGTGCGACTGAAGTTTCCTTTCTCAGCATGAAGGAAGGATTTTCCACATGAGCCTGTTTTGTTGGCACAACTTCCACTGACCACTTCCTTTTTCCTCTCCATCAGATCTCACCTTCTTCCCACAGGTCCTTTTCTTCCTCCTTTTATTTCCCTTTCTTGATTTTTGCCATTCCCTTTTTTCCCCTTGTTCCAAACACTCCATGCTTGGAGAGTAAGAGTGAAGGAAAAGCCTACTGATGCGCTTGTCATGTTATAGGAGCTCCAAAGAGGCATGTCAGGCTGATTGATACTTGAAGAAGCATGACACCAGAAGACAGACTTTAAAAGAACTGGCAGATACTCTGCTTGGTGAAGCACTTGTACAGAGGGTTTGGGAGTACAGCTGGTTCTTCACCCACCATGGCCTTTCTTCTTCAGTCTCTCTGAGCTTCTACTGTTGCTCCACCCAACCCCATTATTACATATTATATTGTGTATTATGAGTGCATATTCAGAAACTGGAGTGGGAAATCAGCCACTGTTGCTTAGGGGCTTCCTTTGCTTTGGTGTTTTTACCACTAGTGCTGTCAGATGAGTCACCTGGACAATAAAAGGCAGTTGGCACCAGTGCCCAATCCTGGAGAGGTATCATAATTAATTGGGGGCAAGGATAGGGGCACCTTACAGGATTGGAACAATTTCCCTTGGGTCTTAGCCATTACCACGTTTTTTAGGGGGTTTTTTAAATTATTTTTATCATGGTTTTCATTAATTAATCTGTCATAAAATCCCAGCCCACTGATGTCAGTAACAACACAGCCATGGACTTTAATGGGGCTCAGGAATTCACCCTAATTTTCATGGGCAAACCCAGAATTCTAATATATGCCTTTCTTCCTTCTCTTGTAGTGCTCGGTTACCTGTGGCAAAGGAATGCAGTCTCGAGTAATCCAGTGCATGCACAAGATCACAGGAAGGCATGGCAATGAATGTTTCTCCTCAGAAAAGCCTGCAGCATACAGACCCTGTCATCTTCAACCCTGCAATGAGAAAATTAATGTAAACACCATCACATCACCGAGGTTAGGTAAGCAGCCAAAATAACTACCCCTACCTTGGGGGTCTTTAAAAAGAGACTGGACAAAGACCTGGCTAGGTCATCTGACCCCAGCACTTTTTCCTGCCCGGGGCAGGGGGTTGGACTCTATGGTCTGGTGAGGTCCCCTCTGACCCAAAAAATCTATGAAACTATGATGATGCAGTAGTTACCTTTTCTGTCTTCTCCTGTGAAGGTGAATGATGGTCTGTGACTAATAGCATAAGGCAGGGGCTCGGGTGATTTTGATATTATCCTCAGCTCTCCTAAAACCTTACTCAGTCAAGACAGTTATAATATAATAAATGTATTGCTGTTAATAATATTTATTCAGGCAGTTGAATTTTAACATCTCTTTACCTCGGTTTCCCCATGCATAACTTTAGAGTGATTTTAGGAATCTTGAATCGTTAATATCTGATGCATGTATAGGTGTTCTAAAAGTTCTGCTAAACATGCAGACAGAGATGCTGTTAGATTGGTGTTAGAAATGTGTTTTGAACAGATTGCAACATGCAGTTTCCTAAACTTACAAAAATCTCGAAAGTCTTTTTGCAAAGTTTTCCAAAAGCGTTTCTCATGGTTTTTGCAAGATCAAAAAGCATGTGGTTCAAGGAGTTTACTGCAAATAATTCCTTCCATCAGTCTTTAGGCGAAATCACTAGCCCCTATTCCTGAAAACCTAAGATGTGAGAGGTTCAGTTACTGACATAAAGAGGTTTTAGTCATGTCATTGAGACCCTTTTTAAAATCCCAAAATTCCTTCACCTGTTTCCTGTTAGAAAATCTGTAAGGAATTCAATAATGGCCATAAAGACAGAGCTGTTAATATGACCAATTTTAAAATACTACTGGAGTTTTGATGATAGTCTCTCCATCAGGTCCTTAAAATGTCAGTCTGATCCTTGAGCGTGATTGGGGGTATATTCAAAAGTTTGCTATCACTCAGTATACCCTTTCCAGATGATTTTTCAAAGCTCTTGTTAGGATAAACCCTCCTGTCAAACAGATTATTCCTGCACAGAAAGCAAGTCTAATGTTTCGGTCTGTGTGTATAATCCTCCCTTTGAGCCAACCCAGGGTATTCCTCTTTGATGTTTTTAACCTTTAAAGCATTTTGTGCTGTGGCCATTGTTTCAGCCTGCTGGATCAGATGGCAGCTGTATCTTACAGTCCTTCGCATCTGCTATTTCAGAGGGACAAAGTTGTCCTTCATATTTTATCTTTCTTTGTTCACAAGTGCCCAAATGTTCACAATCAGAAGCAGGGCACCATCCTCCCATCATAGCCATTCTCAGTTTAGTTAAGTAGAGGCACCTTCATACAGGCTACAAAGTTGTGTGTAGATAAATACATACAGGCACTTCCAGTTGATTAAAATGTGTTAACTTAATTTAAAGGGCCAGAAAATGAGTATTACACCCCGCAAGGCTATGTTGTTCATGTGGATTAGAATATGTAGTCTTGATGCTTGTAATCTCACAGTCAGTTTTACTCAATATTATTTAGGGCATATCTTACCAGAAGCATGTCTAAGGCTGCTGGCAGATGTTCATTTACATGTACCATGGAATCTGATTCCCAGTGCCAACAATCACACTTCCTGTCCTGCCACGCTTAGATGGCAGGAGGTACTATTTTGGAATCAAGGATTAGATCCAATTCACAACCTACTTGCCAGTGCAGGGGGAGCCTGAGGTTCCCCCTGCACCAGCAAGTTGAAAGCCAGGTGTCCGTAGGGCCAGGACTGAGGCCAACAATCAGCTGATTGTTATCTTGGGCTGGGGACCACTCTGGGGCTGGTTCTAGACGCTGGTAAAGTCTCCAGCCAAAATTAACAATCAGCTGATTGTCAGCTGGCCACACATTCAATGCAAGGTGACATACAAACCAATCATAAAGCTGTTCTACATCAGGCATTGACAACCCCCAGTATGCGTGCCAGAGCATGACACACAAGGCCATTTTCCTCAGCACGCTATACCCAGCCCAAGCTCTGGGAAGCTGCCGCTGACCACAGAGCCTGGGCTGCTTGCAGCAGGTGGCTGGGAGGCTGCAAGCTCTGCTGCAAGCAGCCCAGGCTCCATGGTAGGCAGCAGCTGCCCAGAGCCTGTTTGTTGGCTGCAGCTGGGAGGCTGCAAACAGCTGCACAGGGTTCCGCAGCCCCACCACTGGCTCTGTGGCTGTGGTGGCTACACACATGCCTCTGGTTGCACAGCCAGGTTGGGGCCGGGACAGCACAACCCCAGCCCCTCCCCCACCATGTGTCATGAGGCACACATGAAGCTCAGTGCTGGGGTTGCAAAACCTGGCACAGCTGTTTGCAGCCTGCCTGCCACTTCCTGCTGTTATCCAGAGCCTGGGCTGGCTGTGGCAGGCAGCTTGGAGGCTGCAAACAGCTCTGCAGGGCTCTGCAGCCCTGGCTCCATGGAAGTAGCAGCTGCACACACACCTTGGGACAGCCAGCAGGGAAGGGGCTAGGGTTGTGTTGGCCCAGGCCCCTTCCCAGCTGTGTGCCCAAAGTTATGCGAACAGCCACAGAGCTGGTGCTGTGGCTGTAGAGCTTGGCACAGCTGTTTGCACCCTCCCAGCTGCCTGCCACAGCTGGTCTGAGCTCAGGGCAGCTGCAGCAGTCTCAGGGCAGGCTGCAGCAGGCTCTGGCACTCCAGCACTGGCTCTGTGGTGGCAGCGCACAGCAGGGGAGGGGTTGGGGCCGTGTAACCCTGGCCTGTCCTCTGCTGTCCACCCGGAGATGCTCGTGCAGCCACCAGCAATAAGAATGGGGCCCCTCATGGCTCCCCTGCCTCTGACACAACAAGTCAAGGTGTGGGTGGAGTTTGGTGTGTTTTTGGCACTAGCCAAAATCATTGCCAACTGCTGTTCTACATTATATGTGAAACAACGTTATGGCTAGTTTGCCATTTTATAGACTCTTAAATTGAGTGTATATGTAGCATCCTTGTTGTTTATGCCACAGTTAACAAGTTAATCATAGCAAAAATGTAATGTATAGAGTGGGTGGGCCATAGAGGCCCCTTGGGTAGATTTGCATTTAAGACTCCAGGCACATTTTTACTAGGCAGTAGCGATACCTGTCAAAAACAACTTTTGAAATCTGTTCTAGTTTCTATTTTTGAAGTAATCTCACCTTTTTTTCTATTTTAATGGAAGGAGAACTGCATAGCTCTTAACTGAGACTGACCTTGTCACCTCAAAGGATATGCAATTTATGATGGGTTTTTTAACAATGTCTTCAATGGCCCACTCTTAGATTTTGTTGTATTTTAATGTTATTTTTACATTTAATTATGTGTATAACATTGGAACATATAACATTAGATCAGATTAATTCACACACACACACATACACATATATATCTCAGTTTGTGGCCTCTAGACATGACAGACAGACAGACATATAAATCAAAGTGTCTGTATAAATATATATAGTGTCTAGTGGTTCCAAACTGCTGGAATCAAGGTGTTGTGTGTTAAGTACTGTAAAAATGCATGGGGGGTAGGACAAGTGGACAAACAGGTGGATGGACCAGAGGGGAGGTAGATGACAATAGCTTGAATGACCCTGTTCTGCATAGTAAGCAATAGCACAACTTACTATCTATGTGACCATAGTCCCTTGGCATCCAGGTAATGGTAAGTCTTAAAGAGGAATCTTTCCAAGAACGTGATAGATTTTTTCTGGAGTGGAGGGTGGGTGACATATTACAGACAGCATTTTTGTCATACATCAGTGGTGGTGAGGAAGAAAATATGAAGCTAGAAGCTGACTGTCCAGCATATTGGCAGAGTGAAGGTCAGTCATGATGAGCTATAGAGCAGCTTGGTGAAAAAAGAGAGAGAAGTTTGTGTTCATGTGGTAGAGGGTAAAGAACCAGCTGAGTGACAGAAAATTTGATGATGGGATGCACTGACCCATGAATAATTTTAGCAGCATGATTTTAATAGACCTCCCTAGGCAGGCAATGCCATAATACAACAATAAAGGGTGCACAGAGATGCACCTTTTGGCAGTGCCCTACAGCAGAAGCAAGGATGGAGGTCTTTCAGTTACATTTTAGGTAGGGGTTTTTTGGAGTTGAGGTTTGTGTTTGGGAAGAGGGGGTGAAATTAGGTGCGTTTTTTGGAGGGGGGTGACAGGCACAGCCCCTTTGTAGGAGACATGTAAAGACTAGGAGGGGATGTTGAGGAAAGGTGGGGGGATCACCCCTGTAATGGGATGGTGGGAGTAACGTGAGTGGTGGTGGGAAACAATGGTTGGGATTGGCAGAAGGGTTTGCTTGTGTGAATGTGGACAGGGAGGTGGTGGTTATAGGCACAGGGTTGATGGACTTCCCAAGTTTTTGGGTGTTTGAGAAATCCTGTCTGTGCACTGTTTGTTTATTGGAAGCTGCTCTGAGCCTCTCAGAGTGGGATATAAATCTAATAAATAAATAAGGTTTCATTGGTCCTGGCCAGAAAGGAAGAGACTGCAGTAAATAAAATATGATCAGGTCTAAAAGAACACGTTGTCCTAATGCTGGAATAAAAAGACTATTTTCTTGCAGTTTTCATTGTCTACGTAATTTTCACTTTCTATTTGCTTCATTTAAGCTTGACTATTTTTAAAACTTTGCTCATAAATGCTCTTATGGTAGATGCTGTGCCATTTTGACAAGGGTCTACTGAGACAATATAGAATGGTCCCTTTTTCGTCTGAGTGGCTAGCCAAAATTCAGGGTCTTGCTGGATATTCTAGTGAGGAGGGAGGGGTGGAATTAATTATGATATCATATATCTTTGATGTGTTTCTAGTTACAATAACGTGTGCTTTCTTAAGCATAGGAGAAAATGAAATAACCAGAAGCTGTTTCTCAGCTTGGTTTCCAGCTCCAACTCTCTTTTAATTTGTACTCCCTCCCCCTCCCCCTCAAAAGTTCCCATAGACATGGCCACATAGTACCATTTTGGCTTTGTTAAAGCTTCCTTTCAGTCTGAGAGCCATCTTACTCGCACCACCTGAGCTGCCTCTCATCCACTGTCCCTGTCCCCCTCCACACGCACCTTCTCAAAATAATAGCCAGCCAAAGCCACTTCACGTGGCACATTCAAATTCCCCAGCTGTCTTGCATTTGCCCTTGTTCTTGGTAGAAACATGGGCTTATCTACCTCTTACTAGTATCTAAATGGAGGGGAGCAATTAAACCTACCAGTTTCAACAAGTTTGAACCAGACTGTAACATAGCTTCAACAATTCTATCTTTTCTACCTGGTTATTTACTGAACAAATTTAATAACACATAGCTGTGTGTATGTCTTTCTTATGTTGTTTCACAGCTGCTTTAACATTCAAGTGCCTTGGAGACCAGTGGCCAGTCTACTGCAGGGTAATACGAGAGAAGAACCTCTGTCAGGACATGAGGTGGTATCAACGTTGCTGTGAGACATGCAGGGACTTTTACGCGCAAAAAATGCAACAAAAGAGTTGACCTCTGGCAGGCTGGCTGGCTTTCAGCTCTTGTATACTTATTTATAAACACACATACACACACACATAAACATACACATTCACACTCCAGCACGCTTCTTCAGACCAAATATTATCAGATTACATATAATTTAATCAAATTAATTTATTTTGCCTGCCAGACATCCTTTATTGTTTTGGTTAGACATCCTTCTTCTTTTATCCTCTAAGGTTTTCATAATTAATTTTATATGAACAATTTTGGATACATTTATCAGAATTTTTAAAAAAATAAATCATTAGTGTATTTTAAAAGTTTATTTTCAGTAGGGTCATCTCTCTGTTGCCAAAAAGCCATCATGTTATCTTGAATTTATTTTAATTTAGCTGAATAGTTTTGCTGTATATGGAAATAAAGCCCATTTTTATTTTATTTTATTATAATTTTTGGCATACAGAGTCAGAATGATCTTGTGTATTTTGCAACAGATGTTAAGGTGACTAAGCTAACATTATTGAACAGGTTATTACAGAATGTATTGTGAAATCAGTTCCTCTTTGATTTAGGAATCATACTGTAGGAGAGAATCTACTGTAACTTATAACCTACTAGAAACAAAAAAAAAATCAAATAGCAAAGTAGGGATTTTGATCATGCTCATGAACACATACTTGAACACAAGTATTGAATCAATGAAACACTGTAGAGATTTACACTGAATCACTGTTGCACTGTTTGAGGTAGGATAGAGAAACACAATTCTAGAACTTGTACCATCCTATGAAAACACGTCTGTACTGTTTTAACATGTCACTTGATTTTAAGTGTTTTTAAACAAAAGACCCATGCCCCTCTATGCCTTGTGTGTCCTTTCGCATTTTTATAAATAGAAGTGTCCTTGCTCCTGACACTTGTGTATAAGTTAATCTGTTAAACATTTTCACTTTTCTGTGGACTTAGAAGATAGCCTTGTGATACTTCTTTAGTTTTACTTTTATGAAAAAAGTCTTTATAAAAAATAAAATGTTTTGCACTTTTGTGAAACATTATGAAACAGCTAAATTTTCCTTATGAGAAAATATTGTACATGATTCACATGATTTTTACATTTTCAATAAAAAGGTAAAGCTTCTTTCTTCATTTGTATTTTCCTGTTGTGTGTATTTGTGTCTAAGACCTGGATCCACAAAAACCAGCACACTGCGCACAGACCTTTTAAGGTAGCATATAGGAAATGACAAGGATAGGGGTTGTCTTAAATTCCATCCCTCTCCATGGCATTACTGCCTTTCTCTGGTTTCAGGGAGACATCTTTTCTGCAGTATTGAACCTTTTCCTGGAACTGGGTACATTTCAAAAGGAGGGACTACTCCTTTATTTTAAAGACTAGGGAGCTAATAGAGTGGTTAGAGTGCTTAACTAGTGGTTAAAGCACTCATCAAAGGTGAGTGAATGTTTCTCTTCCCAGAGAGTGCCCTAAGGATGGAGCTGTAAGAGAAGGTGGCACTTAGTATTTCCTGTTAAAATCCTAAACTTTATTTTGAATAATTATGTATACATTGGACCAGAAAAAGAGAGAACAGGAGTGATAGAAAATGAGAATAAATAAAATTAACTGGGAATGAATGAGAGAATAGTTTAGTGATTAAGTCACTCACCTGGAAGAAGGTCCTACACCTACGTTCACGTTTACGTTTCTGCTCTAGTAAAATAAAGATATTTTAGCAGTGCAGGGACTGGAACCTAAATGAGTGTCCTAACCACTAGGCTGTACAGAGATGCTCAGTGTGTGTATCTGGCCACTTCGTATTTAATTATTACATGGAAAATAGAATGGCTTCCAGAGGAAGGGCTGAGAGTACTTCTCCCCATCTCTCTCCTCATTTCCTCCTTCCTGTTCAAAATGTCTCTAACATGGTGCTTAGTGCATGGCCCTAAAAGGTTTGAGTCCCCTCAGGCTAAGGGGGGAACTGAACCATGGTGTCTTGCATCCTGAGTGCTGTAACCATTTAACTATAGAATTAAAAGGGTGATAGTCACCACTACCTTGCCTGACTATGTATCCCCAGAGAATGCCCGTGCCATGCACGCTCTGGCACATGGCAGGGTACCCTGGGTGGGGTAGGGGAGGCTGCTTTACCTGGGACCCTGGGGGTCTCCCGGGGCTGCAGCAGTGACAGGAAGTCTGGCTAGCAGTTGGAGCATGACTTTGGCCAGCCAGGTTCTGGTTTTAGGCGGTGCATGCTGCTGCCATGTGCGCCACTCGGCTTTTTTTTTTGGCATGGTTTTTTTTGACCCCAAGATCTGCAAGGGTCAAAAAGAAACCTGGGCTGCAGGGCGGGGAACATCTGAATGTGTGGTGTGGTAGTGCAGATGGGTCTGCGATGCCACATCCCACACATCTGTGCTCACCTGGACGTGGCCTTAGAGTCGCAGCACAAAGTGCTTAATGTGGTCTTTAATTGTACTTTCTAATCGACCAACAGTTAAGTATGAAGTTTAGTGTGTAATTTAAATTAAGATCAGTGTCTTATGTGTAGGTTTAAATTAAGATAAGATACTATTTATTGTATCATTCTTTCATTTTACCTGTGTATGGAAAGAAGAAATTTGGGCCCACATTCAAGAAATGTAAACAATTTTATACTGCACAGATATTATCTTTTCGAACTTAATTTATTAAGCAAGCAATTATTGTTTTAAAAAATGAGACTCAAATTCTTATTTCTTTACCCTAAAGGAAGGGGGAGAGAATCGCACCTGTTACCTGGAGCTAATGTGTTCTTTAATTTTCTCCAAAGATGTTATTTGAATATATTAAATACAATATAATAACTGAGGTTCTGGTCAGAAAGCCTCCCTGCCTGGGAAGAGTGCTTAAGTCCCTCATTAATTCCCACTGATGTTGGTATAGGTATTTTAGCATACTTGATCTTGAAATGCCAGAATTTTAGCTTTAGCATTTCTGAGTTCAGAAATACAACTTGAATGCACTAATGTATAATGATGAATTTTAAAAACTGAGGAAGAAAAGATAAAAAAACAATTGTGACATTAAGAACGTTATTTTTGCATAACGGCAAATGACACAAATAAATTGTGTGTTATTTACAGCTAGAAGACTTGGCTGCTATAGTACACTGCTCTACAATGTCACAGACACTTATGTAATATACAATCTGGTTCTATAATTTTGCTGTCTTGAGGGGTTTTTTTCCTCAGATTTATCGAGAATTTTTACAAATGCTTCTGCACTTGCTTAGCTTCACTCTGATGCCTGAAGTCTAGCACATAGAAATAGGCTGCAAGGAACAGGGCCCAAGAGGCTTATTTTCAACAAGGACTATTATCTGTATTCTTTTAAGATTAAAAGTCCTGCAAGTTTTCACTTTTCCATGAAGAAAACTTGCTTTCTAAATAGACAAGCACAAACAAAGTTATATACTAAGTTGATTTACATCCTTAACTGTGGCTTTCATTCCTTCAGTAGTTATATTATAGGACTATTCATGAGATGTATGTGAAGTTTGTGTGACTTGAAGTCATTATGTATATGCATAGTCATAGAAAGCAAAGTAGGGCTGGAAGGGACCTTGAGAGCTCATCTAGCCCAAACCACTGCCTGAGGCAGGATCATGCCTATCCAAACCATCCTATACAAATCCATTGTCTAGTCTCTTAGCAAAACTAAATAATCAGCCCTGACAACAAAATACATATCACCCTAATCTGCCACAGGTAAAGCAGGGGACCATGGTAACAAATGTCCTGCTGCAACCAAAGTTAAAAATACACTCAAGAAATCCAGTCTAAGTCCTTCCTTTTAGTAATTCTCTGATCACTCTGAAATCAGCTATATTTTACTTCTTTTTTAAGCAGTCACCATAATTCAAAGAAGCAACACAGATCAATATGCTGTGTTGTTACAAAACAGGACACAAGTTTTGAAAATGTGTTTGGTTGGTGGGCTGTAGGTATGATGGTCTCAAAATGTATCACTACCTTGCACAGCAATGTCACTCCAGAGACTATACAGATTGGACTGACAGCTCAGTGCACTTTCCAGATGTGCTCAGTGAAGCAGTTGGGAGTCTTCAGCTGCTAAGCAATCGCACCAGAATTTACTCAGTTCTCCTAACAACCCCTCTCTATTAATAGGTTTTCCTTCCAGGCTGATGAATATATAACACTTCAACCAATGTCAAAGCAGTCAAATTCAGTTGGAAAATAAAGATGAAATTCACTCTGGCTCACAGGGGCCAGCCTGGGTGCTTATTAAATCCCACTTACACTCTGTTTTGATGGATGAAGTGGGATTTTAGCAGTGCAGAGAGCTTGTTCTAGTTGTACACTGTGGGGATATGTGAAGCACAACTCTGACCAAAAGTTCCCCCCAGTTATCACTCACTCCACCTTCCTGGCTAGTAATTCTTCTGGCATCATTTCAACTGGAAGAGTGTTTTATTTTATTTCAGTTTTTTATGTCAAGTTTTTCTTGATGAGTACCACAAATACTTTGTCCTTTGGCCATTTATATGTAAAAATATTGACTTAAAAAAAAAGTGAGTGGTCAGATCTGATGAAGAATGTATTGCATTTGAAAGCTTGTCTAACCCTATACTGACCATAGTTGATCCAATAAAAAAATACCACTGTAAAAAATCTTTTCCTCTCAGATCTAACTAGTACATTAGTGTTAAAAGTAAAAACCTATGACAGATAGAGATGCTTCAGAGGATGTATCTGGTCTCTCTAAGTATGTCACAACACTAAGTGCTACTTTCTGAATTCTGGTAAAGCACTATCAAAGCAAATTAATAACTTCATGAATGTCACAGACACCATAAACTAGCAATATAGTCTAGTGGTGCCTCAGGGCTTCACCATAAATCTCTTCAATTAAACAAAATCCATTGGGGAAAAAAACAAAAATCTCATTGTGGTAGCAGGGACAGATGACAAGAGTATGCTCATCCAGTCAGACATAAACTTTTAGCTAGGGACCTGCGGCCAGCTGCAATTAAGTAACATCCTTTCCAAGAGATTTCCAATTGGTGAGCTATATATTAACATAGTTCATAAAATATTTTGTTGAATAGTAACAAACATACATATTCTAGGAATATCTATGAGCAGAAGAAGATACAAAAATATTACTGCAGTAAGTTGATTCAAATTGTGGAGTTATTATTATTAGGACCCTGCATTGTTACCAGAATGGAAATTGGTTTTATATTCCTTTCATTTTGCCCATCTTAGCTAGTGAAAACTGTCAATATCATTTGTGTAAAATCATTCACTATAACAGATTAAAAGAAAATACAGTACAAGTATTACAAATATAATAAGGCTTAAGCTTCATCTTATAGCGTTCAAAGTCAATGACAGTTTTACTATTGACTTGAAGGGGAGCAGGATCAATCCTCTAAGGAGAATTTCCTGTATCAATAGCTGAAATAAATTAATATTCTTCAACTTGGCGAAGAATTGTTTGTCAACATCTCTTTACTCTGAGAACATGAATATCAAAGTAGCAATGGCAAACTGCTAAACACTGTGGCAAGATCAAGTGAGTTAGTATCCCTATAAAAAATTTCTGGAAGATTTGTCCCATTTCCTTCTACTATAGGCTGCTTCTAATTTTCAGAAAAAAGAACCTCCTTTGAAGTACCGTAAGCCTGAAATCTTTGGCAGGTCACTTTAGGAAGTGTGGGTATGCATTTAAGTGTCTCATGCATCTGGTCACTGATACTCTATTACCTTTAATGAGCGCATATACATCTATCAAAATGGACCTTGAACTTGAAAACTTAAGTTAGGCAGTTATAGAAATAAGTCTCACCTGCTCTGCTGCTTCTAAATGATCTGTTATCATTTGTAAACAATATAAGTGAGCCTGACACCAAGCCGGGGTCAGGTACAGTTTCAGGCAACTGTCGGATCCTTCTTCACTTCATTAATAATTGACTGTGTGCGCACAGCCAGGAAGCAGAAGCCTGGGCTGTTTTTATTATTACTCAACAGGAGGGAAACATGGATTTCTCTGCTTTGCCAAACAACAACCACCCTGATAAATTCCTTCAACTGGAAGTAAAATCTTTGGTGCAAAACTCTGCCTTTCTACAAGCCAGCCTGGCATACCTCCCAGAAGCAGTTTTTCCAGAAGCTCAGCAATGGCACAACAGGGTCTATTTACAGGTAAGGGCTTACTGGAAAGACCTGAACAGTGGGTTTCTTTCCGTAGTAGTCTATAGCATTTTTGTGAAATTTGGGGTTGAGCCTTTTGCTGCAGCTCCATCATCCCCTATCTTGCACAACTGAAGTCAGTAAGATTCTTGCCATTGATTTCAAAAGGATCAGGATAAGGCCCCATGATAACAATCTTTTTGATACTGTAAGCTTAAAGCCACCCGTCAGATCGTTTTGCCCTTATTCTTACAGCACTTCAGGTCATGTGATTGCTTGTGATATAGTTACAGAATTTCCTAGTTCCTAGATGAATGGCAAGTTCTACTGTTAAGTGCATTTACTGTTACATGGAGTCAGATGGAAATCTTCCTACATAATACACTAAGAAGCAGAGGAGAGAGAAATTCCCGAAGAACTCTATGGCAACCCGGATACATTCTTAATTACAGGAAGTTTTTACTATTTATGACTATATACTATAGTATTAACTTGATAAACATTGGTTATATAAGTGGACACCAAAGTGTTATGTTAGGGTAATAGGTGAGAGAAGAAAGAAAAGAAGAGTCAAGCATGGGGAGGGGAAAAATAGGAAAACATTTAAATGAAGGCACTCCTCAGGAAGTTATCCAGATTGCACAATTTGGTCCTCCCTCTGCAGAACCAGCATGAGATCTCCAGAAAATCCTTAGAACTCAAAGGATTGGCTGACAGAGAGAACCACACTGTGAATTAACTGCTTCACTCCCTGGCTCCCTAGCAAATTGCCCTTAACTGGGTTTGTCTACAGGTGCAATTAAGTCAAAGCAATAAACTCCAGTGCTTATTGTGCTGAAGTTTATTGTATCCTGGGTACTGCATTTATATGTTAACAGGCAGCCCCCGCACTAAAGCATCCTTGTGCTCCAGCCAGCCATGTCGGCATCTACTTATGCACTGTACTTATACTCTGCAGCAGGATAGTACAGTAAAAGCTCTGTTATCCGGCATCCCCCAGGGAATGGGGGATGATGGTTAATCAAATATTCTGGTTAATCAAATGTGCATCATCTGGTGCACTCCCCAGCGTCAATGTGCCAGGGGACAGAGAGGGGGTCCCCATGCAGGCTGCTTTGCTGTGGGACGAAAAAGTGGCAAAGAAAAACTCAGCTCGCGGCAGCAAAATGGGAAGTCCCCTGGAAGTGGTACTTCCAGTTTTGCTTTTGCCACATCCCTTAGATGCCAGTTAACAGAGTTTTCTGGCAAATAAAGTGCTGGTTAACACAGCTTTTACTGTATTTGTAAATATTAGGATAGTACTTGTAAATATTAAGCAGGAGTTAATTAGTTCACTCCTGCCTAATAGCACTGCATGTGTAGACACGAGATGTTTACTGCGGAGCTAGTTAGTCAACTGTGCAGTACGCATCTTATGTAGACGTGCCCACAGATTTCTAAGATAACCACAACTGCAACTTCTTCAACCTTCCTTAAAAGGGAGGCATGGGATGAGTATCTCTATAAGATGAGCCTTGGCATAATATATTATGATGCTTCCCTCATAGGAGTTGGGATAGGGTGGAATGAAATACATGCACGGAGCTCTAACCAAGGGAGAAATGCCCACATGATTCGAAAGAAAGGGAGATGGTGCAGTACTGGCAACTTATTTCTCACCACACCTAACCCAGCATTGGGTGCAGAAATGAAGCAATGCATACAAAGAGACCCCTCATTAGCAGGGAATATTCTAGTTTACTGTTAGTAAATAAGGCTAACTGCCCCAGAGCCGTTACTGAAAAATTCCAGCAGGATTAAATCTGTGAGGAGTATTCCCCATCAGACAGATAGTATCATTCCTAAAACTTACTCTGCCCCAGGACAGCCATCTCATCAGAAAGCTACTGGATTTCCAGTTCCTCATAGATTCATAGATGTTAGGGTCGGAAAGGACCTCAATAGATCATTGAGTCTGACTCCCTGCATAGGTAGGGAAGAGTGCTGGGTTCAGATGACCCCAGCCAGATGCCTATCTAACCTCCTTTTGAAGACCCCCAGGGTAGGGGAGAACACCATGTCCCTTGGGATCCCATTCCAGATTTTGGCCACTCTAACCGTGAAGAAGTTCTTCCTAATGTCCAGTCTAAATCTGCTCTCTGCTAGCTTATGGCTATTATTCCTTGTGACCCCCAGGGGTGCCTGGGTGAGCAGAGCCTCACCAATTCCATTCTATGCCCCCTTGATGAATTTATAGGCAGCCACAAAGTCACCTCTCAACCTTCTCTTGTGGAGGCTTAAGAGGTCCAGGTGCCCTAGTCTCTCCTCATAGGGCTTGGCCTGCAAGCCCTTGACCATACGAGTGGCCCTTCTCTGGACCCTCTCCAGGTTATCCACATCCCTCTTGAAGTGTGGCACCCAAAACTAGATGCAATATTCCAACTGCGGTCTGACCAGTGCCTGATAGAGGGGAAGTATCACCTCCTTGGTTCTGTTTGTCATGCATCTGCTGATGCACGATAAAGTGCAGTTAGCTTTGCTGATGACTTCATCACACTGACGACTCATGTTCATCTTGGAGTCCACTAGGCCTCCGAGATCCCTTTCTGCTTCTGTGCTGCCAAGCAGGTCATTTCCTAAGCAGTAGGTGTGCTGGACATTTTTCCTCTCTAAGTGCAGCACTTTGCATTTCTTCTTGTTGAATTGCATTCTATTGTTTTCTGCCCTTTTGTCCAAACTGTCCAGGTCTGCCTGTAGTTGTTCCCACCCCCTGGTGTGTCCACTTCGCCCCACAGTTTTGTATCATGCGCAAACTTGGACAAAGTATGCTTCACTCCCTCATTCAGGTCACTAATGAAGACATTGAAGAGTATCGGTCCAAGAACCGAGCCCTGCAGGACCCCACTGCCCATGTCCTTCCAGGTCAATACGGACCCATCCACCACCATTCTCTGAGTATGACCCTCTAGCCAATTTCCCACCCACCAGACTGTGTAATCATTCAAGTCACAGCATCTTAATTTGTTCACCAGTATGGGGTGAGATACCGTAACAAAGGCCTTCCTGAAGTCTAGGTAAACAATACCTACCCCTACTCCTGCATCCAGGTGTTTTGTAACCTGGTCATAAAAAGAAACTAGATTAGTCAGGCATGATCTACCTGCTACAAACCCATGCTGGTTTCCCCTCAGCATAATTTTTCCTGCTGGGCTCTCACATATATGAGCCTTAATAATCTTTTCAAAGACTTTGCCTGGATTCTCCTTCCTCCCCTTCTTGAAAATAGGGACCACGTTGGCCCTTTTCCAGTCCTCCGGGACCTGGCCTGTGTGCCATGAGTTTTCAAATATTCTTGCCAGTGGCTGTGCAATGACATCAGCCAGTGCTTTCAATATCCTTGGACGGAGCTCATCTGGGCCTGCTGACTTAAATACATCCAGTCCTTCCAAGTGACTCTGCACCATCTCAGGGTCAACACTTGGTAGTCTGGTGCCCTGCTGTTGTCTCTCTACAGTCTCATTGTGAGACTTGTCTTGCCCCTCATTTAGGAAGACCGAGGCAAAGAACTCGTTAAGGAGTTCAGCCTTGTCCCCTGTGTCTGTCATCAATTGCTTTTGCCCATTCAATAGTGGTCCTATACCGCCCTGGGCCTTCCTTTTACTCCTTATATATCAGAAAAACAATTTTTTGTTATCCTTAACTTGGGATGCCATCCACAGCTCCATGGTAGCTTTGGCCTTTCTAACTGCCTCCCTACAACTTCGAGCTGAGGAGGTATACTCCTCTTTAGTAATTGCTCCCTGTTTCCACTGCTTATATGCCCCCCTTTTTGCCCTTAGGCTGCTCTGGATTTCTCTGGTCAGCCAAGGAAGCCTCTTGGCCCCTTTTTCTCAAGAAAGACCTTTGGAGTATGTTTCTAAAAATGTTAACTCTAAAGCACAAACTTTGTCCTTGTTATGCATTTGTGGATGCATGTTGTGCAGATAAAGCACTATGGCTTGAAGTACATTTTATTTCTCTCTCTTTTTTTGCTGACAAGCAAATAAGGAGAAGCTAAGGCACTGATGAGTTCCAGACGTTAAAATCAACATGATGGCATAGTTCAGAGCTAATGGTGTAGGAATAACATGTTTTATTTTAAGATGGGAGGGCTAATGGGGTTAAGGGTTAGTTAATTCAGGAACAGGAGGGGGGTGTTTCATTTCAGAACAGATGTGAGTGACCTACAGACTCCTGAAGTCATTAAACCTTGTGAATAGCCTAATTCCCTGTCCAGGAATTCATTTTCTTTTAAGGAACAGTTCCTCCTCAGGATTCCCTGTGTAAAGTGACTGCTCAGTGGTGCATTTGTGGGCTCTCTGGGACCTTTATCATGAGATCATTCAATTTCAAGTGCACTTAAGTGCTTATGTAAGTGTTTCCTCCACCTATAAGTGTTTTAATTTATTTCCATTATAAAAGGCAGCTTGACATAACAAATAACTTGCATTTCAGACAAAAATGGTTCTCTTTTTGGTGTTAGACAGAGTGAAGTTTTCCCATCTTGCTGTGTATTTGAGTTGTATATTTTAAATAAAACAATACACAGAATCTTGGCCCTTGCTTGTAAAACTGGTGTTTGAAAACCGAAGACAGTGTTTTTTCACTAAAGGTCATTTACTGCATGCAGCCTGTCCTTCAGGATTGCCTAGTCCTGCTGGTGTTCAGAGCTACTCTGTGCCCTCACCTCATGCATTAATTTTCTGGTTCTCGAGTACAGCCTATAAACTAGTTGTGCCTTTGCAGAGTTTATCTGCCTCTCCACATACTTCTATTTGGTGACTTTCATTGAATTGCTCCTAACTCACCTTTCCTGATGATCTTTTCCTGTTCTTCTAGAAAAAAATACCAGGCCATTTCTCTTTTTGTCTTTAATCCACTTATGGGAAATTCAACACTCATCCTGCAAATGCTGCCACTATATGTATCACAGTTATCAGGCTAACTGAATTTCTGACCTCTTGGGCTGTCCAAAAAGTCCCCTCTAGGCCTCA